CGGTTGTGCAACAAATCAGAGACTCATTTTCCCTGCGTGCTTCCACAGTGCTGTGAGTGAGGCGAATACGACCTGCCTGAAGTGAGAAATGACGCGTATTTCCCAGTAGTTTCCTGATTTAGCCTCTCGAGATTAACTTGGTAACAGGACTTCTCTCTAGGAAGACTCCATGAGGAATCAGGCCCTTCTGTTATTTCACCTTCTCCCGCAAGTGCCACGAACCGTATTTTGCTGCCCTCGAGCCACGGCCCGTGTTCTGCGGCTCACACGGCACAGTCAGGCACTCCAGCTTCCTGCCGCCAACGTACCAGCGCAAGCGTCCTGTCCCACTTGCCTGTAGTTAATGAAAAGCAAATACTTCTTTGCAATGCAGATAGCTGCTCTGTCAGTCACACTGGGACACGGTGGCCTCACTGCACACAATTTTTAATTGAATGGCTCCCACTCCTGAGACCTCTGGGTCTTTCATTAATCAGTTATATACACAAGAAAGGTGAAGCTTAATGAGGTGTGTGTCAGGCACTCTGACATGAAGTGGCCCAGGTGGGTGAATGTGGTGCTCCACATTTTAATAATTTGACACCCAGCATTTTGCGGTCCACACAATGTCAGTCTGTGATCATTCTAACAGATGCAAAGATCACTTATCTGGTATCAAGACAAAATCTCTCAGCAGCAGGAACAAAGACTTTTCTAGAGTGAGAACAGAAAGATCACATCCTTGCTCTGTCCTAGATTCACCCAGGAGCTACTACACTGTTTGGTGGGTCGGAAAACGGATACTTAACTCAGCCCCACTTGGCCGTATAATGCAGTTTTGAAACTTGGAGGCTCTGGAGCCAGGCTGTGTGAGATCCTATCATTGCACTGCAACCAAGAAAATTACTAAAATGACTTGTGCCTCAGTTTTCTTATCAGAAAAATGGGTATAATGATAATGCCTACCTCATAGAGTTGTTGTAAGGACTGAATGACTTAATACATAGTGATGTATGGAACAGTCTGGGATATGTGGATGCTCACAAAACACTAATATTTTTATATTTATGTGCTTCTGTCTGTTACTTGACAATGTCAAATGTCAACAAAATTTGATGTTTAGAGTGAACAAATTTAGGTGTTCTTTTGGGCAAGAGGATGGGTTCATTTTACCTTTCCTCTGAAGAACTTAGTGCTTACTGGTAGTTAAGCACATGGAGGCCACAAGTCAGGTTGCCTGGCTTCAAATTCCAGCTCACCTTCAAATCATTGGCTAAGTTTAGATGTGTGCTTGCGTGGGGGAAGATTCTAAGAAGCTCAGTGAAAAGCAATAGATGAAAAACTAAAAGAACGGAGCACATTCCTCAGCTACTGCCAAGTCAGAGGAGCTTGGTAAACAGGCTTTCCATTGAAACCTTGGAGTAAAGACCATATTCCAGGACGAAGAGATTTGTTTTGGACCACAGACAAAGTCAAAACAGACCCATATTAACAACATGGAAAACGAAGCCTCTGCAAGTTCAAGCTGATCAGCCAGTGATTTAACTGCCCGCTAGAACAGAGCCCCGCTTGCTTCAGAGGCTCCACAACGTACCATCCACAATGTCTAATATACAGCAAGAATTATCAATCAGATGAAAAACCAGAGAAATGTGACACATGGGCAAGGGAAAAGCAGTCAATAGAAACAGGCCCCATTATGACCCCGATTTTGAAATGAGCACATAAGGGCTCTAAGGCAATTAAGTTCAAAGACTTGAAGGAAAAAGATGGTTGTATGAAATGGGCAGATAGAAAACTATGCAGAGAAATGAAAATGAGTAATAAGCAAATGTAAGTGCTAGAAATGAAAAGCAAAAGATAAGAAGATCAGAAATAAAAAATAAGCCACAAGATGGGCTGAATAGCAGATTAGAGATGGTAGAAGAAAGGGTAAGTAAATTTGAATACAGATTAATATCCAGTGTGGGAACTAGAAAGAACAGAATCTCAGTGACTTGTGGAGCAATATCAAGCAGTCAAATGTGTATATAATTAGAGCCTCAGAAAGACAGGAGACAGAGAATGCAGTAAATACAAACTGGAGAAAATAATGGCCCAAAGTTTCTAAATTTGATTTAAAACATATGTTTACAGATTCAATGAACACAGTGAGCTACAAGCAGTATAAATACAACAACAACAACAACAAAAACAAAAACCAAACACGAATGCCTAGACACATCATAGTCAAACTGACGAAAATCAAAACAAAGAGAAAATCTTATAACTATTCAGAGAATAATGACACAGGAGATTGCACAGGAGATAGAATTATTTATCTACACATTACACACAGGAGATAAATAATTCAAAAATTTGCTAACTTTTCATAAGAAACAAAGAAGGCCAGAAGACAATGGAATAATGTCTTAAAAGTGCTGAAAAAAAGGTCAACCCAGAATTCTATATCCAGTAAAAATATCCTTAAAAATGGAGGCAATGTAAAAATATTTTAAGATAAATAAAATAGAGGCCAAGAAAATTTGTTGCCAGCAGACCTACACTAAAATAAATGCTAAAGGAAGTTCTTTAGCTGAAAGGGAAATGATACCAGTTGAAAACTTAACTTGACAGAAACAAACAGAGTACTAAAAATGGCAAATACATGGAGATGTATAAAATACTGTATTTCTTCTCTCTTAATTTTTTAAAAATACAAATGACTGAAATGCAAAATAGCATTCTATTGTAGTATATATAACATTTATAGATGTAAAATGTATAATAAAATGAAGGACAGAGATAACAAGTGGATTATGTTGTCACAAGATTCTCATATTTTATGTAAAATACCGTATTAATTCTACATAGACTGTGATAAGTTAAGAATGACTACAGTAATCCGTAGGCCACCACTGAAAAACAAAATTAAAAAAGACCAAAAAGAAGGCAGGAAAAGAGAAGTTGAACGAAAGAGGAATGGAACACATGGAGAACAAATAGGAAAATGGTAGACCTAACTCAATCATTTAAGTAATTGCATTTAAAATAAACAGAGCAAATGCTCCAGTGAAATGACATATGTTGTCGGATTGAATAAGAAAGCAAACCCAACTGTGTGCTATCCATAAGAAATGCACTTTAACTATAAAGACATAGACATATTGGAAATAAAACAGCATAAAAATATACCATATACCCTCAGCATAAGAAAGCTGATGTGGCTCCATTAGTATCAGACCAGGTAGATTTCAAGACATGGAGTATTTCCAGGACAAAAACGGTCATTTCATAATGATAAAATAATCAACCAGGAAGGAAGACATAACAGTCCTAAACATGGATGTATCTCATAACAGTGCTTCAACATATGTGAAGCCACTGACAGTACTACAGGGAGAAATATAGAAATGCATATAGTTGGAGAGCTCCTCCAAATTCTCAGAAATTTTGAAATACTAAAAAATATGAAATTAACCTAAACAATGAAATGAACCAATGAAACCAATAACTAAATGAAAGGTATAGTTGATCCTTAAACAACACTCATTTGAACTGTGCATGTATACATAGATTTTCTTCTACCTCTGCCACCCTTAAGACAGCAAGGCCAACTCCTCCTCTTCGTCCTCCTTCTCCTCAGCCTCCTCAATGTGAACAAGACATAGATGAAGACCTTTATGATGATCCACTTCCACTTAATGAAGAGTAAATAGATTTTTTCTTCTCTATGGTATTCTTAATAACATTTTCTTTGCTGCAGTTGATTATAAGAATACAGTGTATAATACATACACCATACAAAGTATGTGGTATTCAACTGTTTCTGTTATCGGGAAGGCTTCCAGTCAACAGTAGGCTATTGGTAATTAGATTTTTAGGGAGTCAAAAGCTCTATGTGGATTTTCAACTGCACAGGGGATTAGTGCCCCAAACCCTGTGTTGTTCAAGCATCAACTATAGGTAAATGACTTGAATATAAATTTCAAAAAAAAGTTGTACAATGATCATATGTGCATGAAAATGGTGGTTACACATTGTATACTCCACAGATTCCTCTCTGAACTCCTTCCTTACAAGCACGAGAGAAAAGGAGAGTGGCATGTCCTGAGTCGCTGCAGTGGGAGGGACCATGTGGCTAAGGGAAGAAATCCTACTACTGTCGCTCCCTTGTTTCTTAGTGTATTAGCATGACACTAAGGAGGAGATGTTCCTGTCCATTTATCATTCCTGTAAACCGCCTCGTTGCGGAGCATCTCTCACGCTTTACAGCCCCTCAGAAAGCAGACACAGAGCCAACACCTGGCCTCCAATATGGGACAGTGTTTGCCACCAAGTAGGTTTTGATACAGTAAACGCTGGCATGGCAGTTAACTGAAACGAATAGCATAAGGCTAACCTGGAGGTTCTCAAGCAAGTAGAAATTAAATTTTGTAAAGCCTTTGTATTAAATATAAAATATTCTGTATCAAAGTTCTTTCAAACACATTCATTTTGTGATGATAAAATGGAGACCCAGGGAAGCTAGCAGCTTAGCTAAGATCACAGAGTTGCTCGGATCCTGTGATATCACCAAGTCTTTACATTACTCTGGTTGGCTTAGGTGCCTGCAGGCTTCTCCATCACACCTGTGTGAGGAGTGCACAGAAGCACAGAAGGTGCCATACCTTGGTAACTCATGTCATGTAAGGAAGAATCCAAATAATGCAAATATCTCTACCTGATGCCAATTATTAAAGTGAGGTGGGCCAAACAAAGCAATTGTGGGTTTAATTTTCAATGAGACATGAAAGCATTTCCAGAAGGGTTCCTGTGGCAGAGGGAGGGTGATCAGGACGGCACAGTAGGGTGCTTACGGAAAGAAAGAAGTTGTTTCTAATTGTGTGTGTTTGGCCATATGCAATAATGAAGTAATTTGCAGGGGTAGACAATGAGGAAATGTAAGAGTCATGCTTGTCTGCCAACAGAAATTGTCTGCAGGGTTTAGAAATGTAATTTGAAAGGGAGGAGAGTTGGAAACCAAGAAATATAATCAATACCTTGAAGACTGCATGCAGCATCATTTGGAGGCCATTTTTGCCAGGGTATTTCCCAGCAATGTTAGAGGAGGACAAGTTGAAGAGGTTGGCTCCCGTTTCGGTGCAGATGGCATGGACCAGCATTTTCTTCCCTACCCCAGACGGCCCGGCTAACAGCAGCGATTTCACCAAGGGAGCTTTCTCATGCACTGCTGCAGAACCTAAAAAAGGCAGAGGCAAAGGTGCTAATGTTCTGCCAAGAAAATCAGTGGTTCTTCAACTAGGATAACTCAAGGTCAAAACTGCATCATGTGACCCCACTTTCTGCAACAGTGATAAAGGTGTCGAAAGCATTTCAAACCAGAGACACGCCTCCATCCCAGCCGGCTCCGTGACACTTTTAATTTGTATGTCAGGGCTTGTGGTGGAGCCATAGGGTCTCTGTGGGTCCTTAATACCCTTCTTCTCCCCCTTTCCACATCAGTATTTCCCCAAAAATCATAATTTTTAAAGAGCATTCCTGCAATAGCTTACCTTTAGCTGTTTTTTTTTCTTTTCTTTTTTTTTTTTTGAGTGCTTTCTCTGCTTGTCAGCAGCAGCATTAAATTCTTTGCAAGCTTGGGAAGAGGAATGTGGAGACACAGATGATAAGGTTGACTAAGTGTTTATTTCCTTGCAACCCTCTTGTCTACCATTTAGTGATTCTTGTGAGATAAAGGGAAGACGGAGATCCAGGCAGCAGTAGCCTGAACTTCTTTCTCCTGCCCTGGTTTCTAGCTGTCAGGAGCGGCAGAGTTAACCTGACACTTGGTAATAACGTGACTTGGATGATTAGAGTCATTCGGAGGTTCATGCCCTGTGTTCTCCACCACTGTCAATTTCCTTAGTGCCCAGAAGGGGCCTCGGGTGTGGCTCTTCTCCACTGCAGAGAACACAAGCAGAGCAGGTACTGGGCACAAAGCAACTGAAAAGTGAATGGGATTGAATTCCGGAAAGTGCTGCGATCAAATCATTTATTATCATGTTAGTTTGCGTTCTGTCACTTAATGGGCTCTTTTTGATAATCTGTAAATGCCAATATAATGATTATGCTTTTCTTTTTTCTTGTATATTGAAAAGATACAGAAACTTTAAGTGATGATTAGACGTGTCATTCTTATGGTTACCTACCATTCTCCACATAAACTCAGAAAATGGTTTTGAGCAAATTCTCCTCAAAATGTAATTCAATGAGTGTGCTCTTTTTGTGGTTAGTAGGGGCTGCAGCAATCTAACGGGATAAAGGAGAGGCTGTTTTCCACAACAGGAGAGAGATGCCATTCATGTGCCCTGCATTGGACACCTGGGTATCAAAGGCTGCTCTGTGCTGGCCCTGGTTGGGAGCTAGGGCGGGGCCCGTGGGAGTGGGGGCTGTGGCGGGGAGTGACACAAATGTGGAAAAGACTCAGGATTTGCTGTGGACAGTTCAGGCCAGGGGCGGAGCTGAACCTGAGTTGCCATAATGAGAACGGGAGGCAAGCGGTGCGAAGGTCCAGGAGAGCCACAGGGAGCTCAGAGAAGAAACTGCTCCCCGCGGGGAACTCCGGCTGGACTTCCAGGAGGAGGGGGCACCTGGGCTGGCCTCTGAGGAACGGGCAGAACGGTAGCATGCAGTGAGGGGGTGTGTGGGCAGGCTTCACGTGGGGCCGGGAAGCCAGGCTGGCACAGGGAGGGGTGAGGAACCAGCGGTCAGGGGCCCTGAAAGGTGGTGTGGGACGGCAGGTGCCAGGGTTGCTGGCTGAAGCCAGGGGCCGGGAGAAAGCAATTGTGGGTTTAATTTTCAATGAGACATGAAAGCATTTCCAGAAGGGTTCCTGTGGCAGAGGGAGGGTGATCAGGACGGCACAGTAGGGTGCTTACGGAAAGAAAGAAGTTGTTTCTAATTGTGTGTGTTTGGCCATATGCAATAATGAAGTAATTTGCAGGGGTAGACAATGAGGAAATGTAAGAGTCATGCTTGTCTGCCAACAGAAATTGTCTGCAGGGTTTAGAAATGTAATTTGAAAGGGAGGAGAGTTGGAAACCAAGAAATATAATCAATACCTTGAAGACTGCATGCAGCATCATTTGGAGGCCATTTTTGCCAGGGTATTTCCCAGCAATGTTAGAGGAGGACAAGTTGAAGAGGTTGGCTCCCGTTTCGGTGCAGATGGCATGGACCAGCATTTTCTTCCCTACCCCAGACGGCCCGGCTAACAGCAGCGATTTCACCAAGGGAGCTTTCTCATGCACTGCTGCAGAACCTAAAAAAGGCAGAGGCAAAGGTGCTAATGTTCTGCCAAGAAAATCAGTGGTTCTTCAACTAGGATAACTCAAGGTCAAAACTGCATCATGTGACCCCACTTTCTGCAACAGTGATAAAGGTGTCGAAAGCATTTCAAACCAGAGACACGCCTCCATCCCAGCCGGCTCCGTGACACTTTTAATTTGTATGTCAGGGCTTGTGGTGGAGCCATAGGGTCTCTGTGGGTCCTTAATACCCTTCTTCTCCCCCTTTCCACATCAGTATTTCCCCTAAAATCATAATTTTTAAAGAGCATTCCTGCAATAGCTTACCTTTAGCTGTTTTTTTTTCTTTTCTTTTTTTTTTTTGAGTGCTTTCTCTGCTTGTCAGCAGCAGCATTAAATTCTTTGCAAGCTTGGGAAGAGGAATGTGGAGACACAGATGATAAGGTTGACTAAGTGTTTATTTCCTTGCAACCCTCTTGTCTACCATTTAGTGATTCTTGTGAGATAAAGGGAAGACGGAGATCCAGGCAGCAGTAGCCTGAACTTCTTTCTCCTGCCCTGGTTTCTAGCTGTCAGGAGCGGCAGAGTTAACCTGACACTTGGTAATAACGTGACTTGGATGATTAGAGTCATTCGGAGGTTCATGCCCTGTGTTCTCCACCACTGTCAATTTCCTTAGTGCCCAGAAGGGGCCTCGGGTGTGGCTCTTCTCCACTGCAGAGAACACAAGCAGAGCAGGTACTGGGCACAAAGCAACTGAAAAGTGAATGGGATTGAATTCCGGAAAGTGCTGCGATCAAATCATTTATTATCATGTTAGTTTGCGTTCTGTCACTTAATGGGCTCTTTTTGATAATCTGTAAATGCCAATATAATGATTATGCTTTTCTTTTTTCTTGTATATTGAAAAGATACAGAAACTTTAAGTGATGATTAGACGTGTCATTCTTATGGTTACCTACCATTCTCCACATAAACTCAGAAAATGGTTTTGAGCAAATTCTCCTCAAAATGTAATTCAATGAGTGTGCTCTTTTTGTGGTTAGTAGGGGCTGCAGCAATCTAACGGGATAAAGGAGAGGCTGTTTTCCACAACAGGAGAGAGATGCCATTCATGTGCCCTGCATTGGACACCTGGGTATCAAAGGCTGCTCTGTGCTGGCCCTGGTTGGGAGCTAGGGCGGGGCCCGTGGGAGTGGGGGCTGTGGCGGGGAGGGACACAAATGTGGAAAAGACTCAGGATTTGCTGTGGACAGTTCAGGCCAGGGGCGGAGCTGAACCTGAGTTGCCATAATGAGAACGGGAGGCAAGCGGTGCGAAGGTCCAGGAGAGCCACAGGGAGCTCAGAGAAGAAACTGCTCCCCGCGGGGAACTCCGGCTGGACTTCCAGGAGGAGGGGGCACCTGGGCTGGCCTCTGAGGAACGGGCAGAACGGTAGCATGCAGTGAGGGGGTGTGTGGGCAGGCTTCACGTGGGGCCGGGAAGCCAGGCTGGCACAGGGAGGGGTGAGGAACCAGCGGTCAGGGGCCCTGAAAGGTGGTGTGGGACGGCAGGTGCCAGGGTTGCTGGCTGAAGCCAGGGGCCGGGAGAAGTTTCTGGGAGCGGGGGAGGGAGGAGAGAACAGTGCTGAGGACAGAGTCTTGGGTTGGGAGGGGGTGGCAGGAGGCAGAGGAGCAGGGGCGGGTGAGTGGGCCTGGGAGAGTGTGTGGCAGTGACACAGGCAGTGGCCTTCCAGAGAAAGGAGGTGGTCACCAAGGTCACCCAGAGACGTGAAAAGGGTGGTCCCAGGGAGGCCTCTTCAACTGGGGCCTGGCTGACCTCAGGGAGGGCAAAGGTGGGCAGAGGGCCCAGGAGCTGGCAGGACACACATGTGCCAGTGTCCACAGCTCTTCCTGCCCCTCTCGTAGAGCTACCAAGAGACACAGTATGGTTCCAGTTTTCGCACTTGAGCCCTGTTCAACTTTCCGAGGATTAAGAGATAACAAGGAGGCCAGTGTTCTGTGTCCTCAACCCAGTTTAGCCCCTTCCTAGCCCTGTGACTCCAAGGAAGTGCCTCTGCATCTTGGAACTGCTTATGAATCAGTAAAAGCGGGACCACATCCACCTGGAGGCGTCTGGCAGGCGATGAAACAGCAGACATGGTTTCTGCTCTGGGAGCACGCCTCCTCCCTTCCTTCTCCATGCTCTCTGTGTGGCAGCAATACCTCCAGGAGGGTAGGTGGATGCTGACCAGATACTGCCTGGGCTTCCTCTTCTCTACCAGGGTGGTTTCAGAGTCTAAGACCCAGCCCTAGGCTGCAGCCGGTGTCTCCTGGCCAGGTATGTAAGCGGCCACGAGATGTTCTCAAGGTCCTCTGCTGAGTGGCCGGGTTTTTAGTCTGGGCAGTGGCCACCATTTAAAAAAAAAAAATATATATATATACACACACACACACACACACACACATATTAATCGCAAATTCCATTTATAGTAGTAAATTCCATTTACTACTTCTGACATTAATTTAGAAGAGGAATTAACTATTTCTTGCCAATAGGCTTAAGTTCTGAAGTCAAAGTGGAACACTAAGGGTTTAAACTACCCCCATCTCATTGTAAAGCAAATTAAACACACAGAATGTGACTTCTATTTGAGAGTTGTTGTCAGAACTGAAACTCCTGGCTGCAGTTGCCGTCCCTGCCCCAGGTGATTCAGGTCATACACATATCAAAGCCATTAAAAAAAAAAAAAAAGAAAAAAGCGAACGTGAGCCGCAGATATCTGTGTTACGGAGAGCCCATCTTTCCTGCATCACTTGCACACCACAGAGCTCTAGTGTGTCTGTCTGAAAAAAGTCACAATTGAACCTCATTTAGCAGTGAGAGTAGACTTCGGTGAAAACTGGCAGGGCCTTAAAGGTGATCCTTTAGATCCATGAAATACACTTGCACTGACTCCTGAAAGGCTGCCTCTGTTTAGGACCTAGTAGTAGAAGCCTGTGGGTAAAAGGCAAGTGGTAGCCCTAGCCCGTTCTCTAATTCGATTAATCGTAATTGCGGGTACTTGCTTTGCCTGTTATCTCCCCAGCTCACTGCCCGTATGTCCTTCAGCCCAGCACTGCTAAGCAGGCACACAGAGAGGGCGCAGAAGTGCTCCCCTGGCAGTACTCTGTGTGCTCGTGGGCACACTGTCAAAATGAAACTGTGCCCACTCAGAATTCTCAGAAGGAAAAGTTAAGCTGCAGTGCACTTTTGCTGACAAACAGGAACACACCGTCCAAACTAGCAAGTGGTGCAAGCTGCTTTGGAAAAGGCACATCCGTGCACGCCGAGTCTTTACCTAATGGCCAGATTCCGTACAACGTGATGAGCTGTCTGACATCCAGGAGGGAGGGCATGGGTTCTATGGATACCTGGCGAAGAGTAGTCCCCAGGTAGCTGTACTCACCTGGAGAGAAAAGAAACAGGAAAAATAAATGGAAAACAGCGCTGGTCTGAGCTGCATAATTTTGGTCTGCAAAAACGATCAGAGAATACAAATTTAACATTTCAGAGCAAACAGAATCCTATTAGGAGAGTCATTATGAAGAACACCTCTTTTCTCAGACAAAGGTTTGAAGAAAAACTATCCAGGCAAGAAAGCCCTGCTCTACTAGCTAGTGTAAACTGGGAATTATGTTGACTATTATATTAACCTCCTAATACTTCCTAAAACAACATTTGAATATTGAGTTACGTGAAATGGGGCAAAGTGCTAAAAAGAAGGACACACAAAAAAGGCTGAAATAGAGGGGGCTTTGCTTTATTTACATTCCAAGAGATTAGGTATAACATTTGTGCAAACTTTAAAAATAAGTTATTTAAGATCAAATTCTACAAAAAATGTAGAATTTGTATTGGAGCAGTGTAAATCTGAGTGTAAAATGCAGTCATTTGAAAGGAAGGGTATGAGTCTAATTTAGGATAAATAGAAACATCTCCTTTTGAGGGTAATATTCATTTACATTTTTATATTTTTAAGAGATTACCAAAGGAATAATCTAGAAATAAATCTTTACAGGTTTAATTAGAAGATATCAAAGGGCTTAATTGTAACTAGTCATAAATCTGAAGTGTTATTTTCTAACTAATTTAGATAAGGTCACCAAGAAAATTAGTTTGGCTGTCTCCATTTGTCATGAGGATGGACCTTTATAGGTTCATATGATTCTCTCTTGATTTGTATCTGAATCTGGAGTAAAAATATTCAATGAATGAATCATCGTGTCTGGATTTTTTTCCCTGATGCTTTCTTTCTATAGCAAGTCCTGGTCCTGCAGAGCTTCGGCTGCTACACGTGTACGGCAAGTACAATATGCACATTGATGTGTGTAGGAAACACTGAAAATACCCCAAGCTTTTAAGCATTTTCAAATGCTAAGGAAATCAGAGTTAAAATTCAGACAGTGACTGCTGTTTTGTTGTGGGGTGGGGGGCAGCCTTTCAGAGCCTCCACATAAAAAAAGTCCTTGGCAAGGACAATGGGTATTGGTTGGGAGAATGAGCGATAATGAAAGCATCTATTACGGCTTCAGATACCACACTTTTTAATGAGCAGGTAATAAATAGAAGAGTGGTTAATTTAGCCTCCACTAGAATAGAAAGAGATCCTGCAACAACCGTTAAATCCAGCGCTCATTGCCAGTAAACATGACATTAAAGGTGACAGGAAAGTGACCCCAATTTTCCTGCTTATCTAAACCCGTATTAATCTCCAGACGCACCATATTTTCTAGAACCTAACAGATTTTGTTTAAACAAATTATATTCAGCTGAATTAGTGGGTGTTGGTTCTAACAGAGGCAAGGACACAAGTAGCCTGGGCTGCCTGCCAAGTTCTGAGACTCGCACTGAAAGCACGTTCCTGTGTCTGCAGTAGCCCCGCATACAAGCCATGCCCCTTCCCATCCATGCATTCGGAGCTTGGAGAGTTCAGGATTCCCTGCACAGACATCAGATCTTCCACAGGGGAGGGAAGAAGAAAGTGGCAGATGAAAAGGCGTTTGGGATAGAGGGCATGACAATGCCAGGAAACCCAGAACAAGGGGCAGAAAACCAAACAGGGGCTGCATGACAGGTGGAATCGAATCCCCTTGCAATTCAATGTGGAAGTCCTAATCCCCAGCATCTCAGAACACGACCTTACTCGGAAATAGGGTTGTTGTAGATTTCATTAAGATGAGGTATTAGAGTGGACCCTAAATCCAACAGGACTGGTGTCCTTATAAAAAAGGAGGAATTCGGACACAGAGACAGACATGCACAGAGGCAGAGCACCACGTGAAGAAAAAAGCAGAGAGGGAGGTGATGGTTTTACACCAAGAATCACCAAAGATCGCCGACCACACGCCAGCTGGGAGCAGCTGAACGCCGTGCAGGTGCAGCCTGGGGTGCTCCATCCAGCAACTCGCTTAATGTTTACAGCGATTTAGTGAGGCATTCGCTGTAATGACCTCATCCCATAGTAGTGGAAACTGAGGCACAGAAAGAGTAAGGAAAGGCCTGGCATCCTGGAGGGAGGCAGCCTCAGAAGGACGAGAGGAAGGAGAGATTCCTTGAGCCTGGGAGGAGTGACTGGTCAGTGGCCCCTGAGCAGCGGGCATCCAGCCCCTAGGCCCTGGAGGTCTGGGGGGTCTTCATGGGCACCAGCCTCCAGAATATCTCTGCAGCCTGGTGCTACCTGGGAACTGGGGCCTTGACGATATCTAGGGGCAGGGGTGGGGACTGGTAAGAAGGACAGTTTAAATCACCTTGTTAGTATAGGGGTTGTGAAGCCAAATTAAGGTGATTTAAAGAAAATAAGGAAGTTGCTATTTCTCGATTGTGGCAGGTGCTTGCTGCTGGGCACAGGGCCAGTTTTGGAGCAGGGTGGCCATGCAAGGGTACAGCAAGCAGTGGGTTGGGTGGTGGGGGTGGGCTGTGGGAGCTGAGGGCTGGGCCTGGAGGAAGGGGTCCTCCCGAGCTCTGCAATGCAGGCTTCGCATCCTCTGGGTCCGTTCCTCCCCTTCAGTCTCCTGTAGCTCTCATCTGCTGTGATTCTAATGACTGTTGGGAGTTCAGTGGTGTTGAGGAAAGAGTGGGATTACAAATCTCAAGACTATAAAAAGCAACTCTGTGTCCAGCGGCTGAGCATGGAGGATCTGTGTAGCGCATTCCTGGCCTGGTGGAGACATCCATCTGGGAAACCACATTCTGTGTCTGGGGATCCCTGCTCCTGCCCCGCCTGGATGAAGGGCTAGGGAGGAAGAGCCCACATCTACCCTCTCTCCTTCTCTAGAAGCAGGAAGAAATAAAGGGCTCTGAGCACTGAGGCTTTGTAGCACAGACCTCTGGAGCAACGGAATGGGCAACAGAGGAACCCTCTGGGCCATGCCTCTGTTGTCAGGGTGTTAAAAAGGAAACAAGATAATAAATTCGAAACCAGGGAACCCAAGGGTGAGTGAGGGTGCCTGGGTCCTCATCTTGTTAATTCTCTTCTTAGACAAGATGACGAGGCATGACTTAGCTAGGTGCTGAGAGCAGTGTGCTTTCCAGAGGCAGGGGGCCATTCCCAAGCTCCCCAAGTTTACGAGATCAGGAAGAAGCTCCCAGCTGTGAAAGAGCCCAGTCCCCCTAAGGCAGAAAGTCTGCAATGCCATGTTGGCAGCGCACACCGCTGTTAGGCACCGTACTCTCTCTTCTGAAGCCCTCACCTTCTATTGGTTTTATGGGTACATAGAGGATGCTCACTACCAATCCTCGTGCCAAGGTCTCTCATGCCATTTTTCATTGTCAGTAGGTCATTCTTAGCAGATTCTTCAGGAAGGGCTCAGGGGGAAAATTGCTGAGTTCTTGCATGTTTATCAGTTTGTGTCCTATGTACTTGCAAATAAACCTGACTGGGTACAAAATCCTAGAATCCTGCTTCCTTTCCTGGAGCATCTTATAAATGCTATTCCATTTACTTCCGGTGTAAAGCATGGCTGTGGAAAAGTCTGACGATAATCTAATGTTCTTTCCTTTCCAAGTCCTGTGATCTCTTTTACATAGATGCCCAAAGGCACTTTCAATAGACTGTCTTCTTGATCAATCTGAGTCAATATTCTCAGATAGACAGTGTGGTCTTTCATTATGTGGTTTTAATGTTTTTTAAACATTTAAACCCTTTTCCTGTTTGCCCTGAGAAGACTCACCAGAGATGCTTTTCGGCTGCAGCATTTACCCCAAGAAAACTTTGCCACGAAGCATCTCGTTTTTATTATTATTTTCGCAGAGCTCTAGTATACTGACTTCAGAAACGAAAGACATCATTCTATTTATAGCGTTCTGTTTTCAGCAGTGGTGTTTCCATTTAGAAAATATAGTAATTCTTGATTGCTGAACATATCAAATCCTAAGAAACGTAGCATTCCTAGGCATGATCTTGACATTGTTTTCCAATGGTTGTTGGCTAAAGATTCATTTGATGAATCTGATTTTCTCCGAAATAGACAATTCTGATGATTCAGATGATTCTGATATTAGTTCTGTTTAGAAATAACTCCAAGAACAGTTTCTACATTTTATTTTCACGTTGAAAATCAGTCAGATTTGCTTCAGCCTTAAACAGCGTGTTCACATAAAGTTAAATGAGCATTACCAGCGAGCTGCGCTTTCTTTTTCTAAACAGGAAAAGGCCTAAAAGAAATTTTCATGAATTAAAATTATATATATTTATAAAATTGCAATTTGAGACAAGGTCCTGCTCTTTCACCCAGGCTGGAGTGCAGTGGTGTGATCTTGACTCACTGCAACCTCGAATTCCTAGGCTCAAGCGCTCCTCCTGCCTCAGCCTGCTAAGTAGCTGGGACTACAGGTGCGTGCCACCATGCCCAGCTAGTTTTTATTTGTTATTTTTTTGTAGAAAAAGGGTCTTGCTATGTTGCTAGCATAGGCTGATCTCAAACACCTGGTCTCAAGAGATCCTCCTGCCTCAGCCTCCCAGAGTGCTGAGATTACAGGTGGGAGCCACTGTGGCCGGCCGAAATTCTTTGTATTTTTTCGATTCCTTTGCTTTGATTTTCTTCTTTAGGGACTTGTATTATCTGTGTATGTTGGATTTTCTTTGTCTGTCATCAATATTTGATATGCTCTTTTGAATTCTTTTAATATCCTTCATTTCTAATTTTGCTTTAAAAAATTTGTCTTTTTCCTTTTATTTCTAAAGCATTATTTATTATTTTTATTTGCTCTTGTATTCATTATAATTTGTTTTTTTCTATAACATTTTCCCCTTTATTTATATTTATTGAGATTTCTCACCTCATTTCTGGGTTTTACTTATTCTATTTTATGCTGTTCTCACACGTCTTCTATAATTTTTTAATGTATATTAACTTTTTTTTTTTTTTTTTAGATGGAGTCCTGCTCTGACCCCTAGGCTGGAGTGCATTGGCACAACCTTGGCTCACTGCAACCTCCCTGGCTTCAAGCGGTTCTCCTGTCTCAACCTCCCAAGTAGCTGGGATTACAGATGTGTGCCATCACACCTGGCTAATTTTTGTAATTTTTGTAGAGACGGTGTTCCTCCATGTTGGCCAGGCTGGTCTGGAACTCCTGACCTTAAACGATCTGCCCACCTCAGTCTACCAAAGTGCTGGGATCACAGGCATGAACCACCACACCCAGTCTCTGAATGTATATTGTTTTGCAATAGTAGGTTTCAGTATAGACCTGCTTTGTGGAGATGTCGTTTTGGGATGTTAATGTTTTCTTATTCTTTTTTTCTTACGATAATTTTGCATGGGCTTTGACCTTGAACTTTTCCATTGCTCAAATTTATATGAGTGAATAGTCCAACACTTTTAGAAGGAAGTGTGGCGCAGGATAGCTCTTCCAGTTTCACAGAGCTCCCTCCTCTGTCATCTTTATAGATGCTAAAAATGTGGCTTGCTTTCTGAGACGTTCTGGCTCTGGTCCCCTTCCCTAATTTCTTCTGGGTCTTCTCTATGTTTCATCTTTACTTTTCCCATTCTGTTCAATTTTGATTTCACTCCCAAGAGTTTCTTCGTAGTATGGGCCCTGTGGAGGAAGGCACTGGGGTGAGTCACTGTCCCAGACCCTTCACACTTTCTTATTCGGGTCCTTTGCACTCATCTGCTATGGAGGTGGGCAAAACCCCTCCTAGTTTCAGTTTTGATTCTTACCTGGCCCACTGCACATTACCTGGCCCATTGCTCTCTGGTTATTTTGGGGTCTCCTATTCTCAGGTCCTTTGGTGTCCCTAAAGTTTGTACTCTGGGGCTCAATGAGGAAAATTTGTCATTTAGTTGTGGTGCAAGTGTTGCCTGGGGGGTTTTGGTCTTGTTTTCTAGTTCCTCTATTTTACGATGTGGGGATTTAGGAAGATACACTGTCATCTTTCAGGCTAAGGACTTTAACTGGGAAAAAATGAAAATATGGACAAGGTCAAAGTGTGCCAGATTTTGGTGGATATTTGACTACTTTGGTTAGATTGAGTCATTTTCACTTAGAGTCTGTATGAATTTGTTCTTGAATTGCTATAAAGAAATACCCAAGACTGGGTAATTTATAATTAAAAGAGGTTTAATTCACTCATGGTTCCATAGGGTATACAGGAAGCATGATGCTGGCATCTGCTCAGCTTCCGGGGAGGCCTCAGGAAACTTACAATCGTGACACAAGGCAAAGAGGGAGCAAGATGTCTCACATGGTGGGAACTACAGCAAGACAGAGAAAAGGGGGAGGTGCTACACACCTTTATTTTTATTTTTTTAATTATTATTATTGTTTTTTGAGATGGTGTTTCGCTCTTGTTGCCCAGGCTGGAGTGCAATGGCGTGATCTCGGCTCACCGCAACCTCCACCTCCCAGGTTCAAGCGATTCTCCTTCCGCAGCCTCCCGAGTAGCTGGGATTACAGACGAGTGCCACTACTCCTGGCTAATTTTTTTTTTTTTTTTTTAGTAGAGATGAGGTTTCTCCATGTTGGTCAGGCTGGTCTCAAACTCCTGACCTCAGGTGATCGCCCACCTCGGCCTCCCAAAGTGCTGGATTACAGGCGTAAGCCACTGTGTCCAGATTGCTACACACTTTTAAATGACCAGATCTTGTGAGAACTCACTACCGCGAAGAAAGTATCAAGGAGGATGGTGCTAAACCGTTCATGAGAAACTGTCCCCATGATCCACTCCCCTCCCACAAGGCCCTGTCTCCAACACTGGGGATTATAATTCTACATGAGGTTTGGTGGGCACACAGATCTAAACCATATCAGAGTCACTCTTAAATGGCTGACTCCATCCACTTTGATCTTAGGCATCTTAAAGATGCTTCCTGAAAATTGACAGATCATTGAAAAAGTTCAGAAGGGATAAGAAACTAATAATTAGTTGAGAAGTCAGTCCACACATAGGTAATGGGAATCTACCATGTGCCAGGCATTGTACTAGGCACTAGGATCTTTTGTTCACAAATCCAAACCATAAATAAGAGAAGGTTCTGTTAAAAATAGCCATTTAAAAATATCAACAGAATTAACAAAACAGAATCAAGGCACAGGAGAAAATTCTCCAGCACCTGAAGAAGAAACACAGAAGGTAAAATAAATAGAAACCCAAAACATATCTCAATATATATTCTGGCAAAATTCTTATGCTATTAGGAAATGTGAGTGCTCCTTCAAGTCCTCAAGAAGAAAACAAGGCTGTCTTGAAAAGGGATTAAAATAACCATCCTTTGATCAAAGGAGAATGCCAGCCTTCTTGCTCTCACAGACCAAAATTGGGTCAATGTAAATATCAGGATGGATAATGATAGGCATAGATAATACATTGAATAAAAAAAGAATCCATGTGTCTACACTGATAACACAATTTTAAAAGATTACACACTTCCTTACAGAAGAATGATATCTATTCAATGTAGAAGGAATGATAGAAAGAGAAAAATCTCCACTTTACAACTGCTACAGCAATAACTGATGCAGATAAAAATCGTCAGTGGGTGCTAAAACGCTTGCCTGAAAGGATGCTGGGAACAGAATCTCCACAGCCTCAAAATATCACCCCTTGCATTCACTGTTCATTAATTATAAAGGGAAAGATGATGCTTTACAGTGGAGAAATAGAGGGAACAGTGCCTAAGCCACAAGATTAAACTTAACATCATCACCGATGGGACAAAGTGGCATTAGGTGCCCCCAATGGGAAACACTGACAGGGACACACCATCGTTTTCCTCTCAAATGTTTACCCTGAATCAAATAATGAGGAAACCATGACGCACATTCAATTGAGGGACAGTCTGTGAACAGCTCAGACTCTTCAAAAATGCCAGTGTTGTGAAAGATGGAGGAAGGCTGGGAAACTGTTCCAGAAGGAAGGAATTATGGGAGACGGAAGAGACACAACAATCACTCGCACCATCCTTGGCTGGATTTTGGATGCAGAAAGACAAGTATGTATACAGGACATTATCAGGACAATTGGGAAAGCTGAAAGTTCACTGTATATTAGGTAACAGTATTGCATTATTGTTTGATTTTCTGAGTGATTTTCCTTCTGTGGTTATGTAGGAGAATGTTGTCATCCATTGGGGTAATTTCTTCATAAAAGTAAAACTAATAACTGCATTAGGGTGGTACAGTTATGAGGAATTTTAAGATTTAAGTGTGTTTTCAGGTCATCATCGTGTTTTTTAAAAATTCAGAGAAAACCATTAGGTGAGGCTGTGATAACAAATGTCCCCACCTCATTCCTCCCCAATATTTGTGTCTCTATTGGAAGGTATCTTTTGGAAATAATTCCTCCAGTAAAGAGTGTGTTGTGGAAGCCTTAGGTGCTGCCCCAGGTGCATTTTTTACATGTGAAATCATAAACAATTCCTCATCTCCTTAAATCAGATTATGCCAGAAAGAATGCATCGAGGAACCTTGCTAGTAGGTTAAAAACCTGCTTCTATTACATTAGGGGAGAGAGCTGCAACCATTTTATTAAGAGAATCTGTTAGTTCACAGCATCCTCTTAGGTTATTTGAATCAATTCAATCCAACATTTACCAGGAGCCACCATGGGCCAGGTTTTGGCTTGAACAAAAATGTAAATAAAACATATTTCTGGCTGCTGGGATTTCAAAACACAAGAGGTGACACGTGACACACACATGCATTATTCTTTGTGTACTCACCAATGTAATCAGAGAGGTTGACTTTCAGAGCCTGGATCAGTAATCCTTCTTCCACCAGTTCCTTATACAGAGACTCGATGGTCCTGGGGAGAAAGCAGAGTGTCTGTTCCAGAGTCACACACACAGAAATCAGCAGTATTTCTGTTAATGATCACATATGTGGAGAACTTAAACCAGATCTATTTCCAAGTACATTTGTTCATATGCAAATAAAAGGAGTTTTGAAGTGTTTCTACAATTTGGGGATAAATAAGGCTTTTTAAAAACAATACTTTCACTCATCCATGTGTGTATCTGATGTTTCCCATTAATAAGAATGATATCTTTGGGCGTCTGGGACCAGCTATAACTCCTGCAGTCTGCCCTTCCATCAGTCTTCATGATGGCACAAATATGAATTAGAAATTACCCAATAATAGTAACGCAATGGACCTATAATTATATATTCGGCTAGCATCTGCAAGCTGTAGTACGTCATTAATCCTTTGTGAAATTTATGTTTCCTTTTAACCCAATTGCACAATTGTTTGAAAGAAACATCTACAAAGAACAAAGGATGAGACTGAAGATAATTCTTTTATGGAAGATAAAACGTCTAAAGCTATGAGGGTGATGATTTTTTAGGAGGGTGTTATACTTTATGGAGTGTTTACAGATGTCAAAACCACTTCTCTAAAAGGACCTTGGGCATATAGCCAGCACATTGGTAATTTATACTAATTGAGAAAAAAATGGACATAGTATCTATCCCACGTAACGGATGAAACTCCCAGTGATACACGCTGGGTTTGGCTTGCATAAATTAGATAGGCTAAATTCCAATATTATTCAGTATAATCCTTTGAGATGTTTTGTCTTTTCCTCTTCTTTATTCTTCCATCCTACTCTGGTCTTGCTCTAAGTTGAGAACTGTAAATACAACTTTATTTAGACAGTTCTTCTGACTGTCCTGTGACCCAAGTTAGTGTGATTAAAAGATACCCGAGAATCCAGCTAGATTCAAGCCAAATACTATTAGGTGAAATGCTAACCCAATGACCCCAGTCTTTGGATGACTGGAATTGTATTCCATCAAACATGTTTAAAGTAGTATGCCCACTGCTGAAAGTTAACAAAGATTTAATTTAGCGGAATTTGGGATAGCAATATTTGACCCATATATATCAAGAAGGTATCAACTGCAGTGTTTTAACTTGAATACTTATTTAACATAAACACTTAACACAGGTATAAAATATTAACATAAATTTGAAGAAGATTCTCTAACATAATCAGAACAAACGATATTAAGAAAGTCCGAGGCCAGGCGTGGGGGCTCACACCTGTAATCCTAGCACTTTGGGAGGCTGGGGGGGCCGATCATTTGAAGTCAGGAGTTTGAGACCAGCCTGGCCAACATGGTGAAACCCCGTCTCTACTAAAAATACAAAAAAATTAGCTGGGCCTGGTGGTGGGCAACTGTAATCCCAGCTACTCAGGAGGCTGAGGCAGGAGAATCGCTTGAACACCAGAGGCAGAGGTTGCAGTGAGCTGAGATGGCACAACTGCACTCCAGCCTAGGCGACAGAGTGAGACTCCATCTCAAAAAAAAAAAAAAAAAAAAGCTAGTAGAAGACACCGTGGCATTGTGTGTGAGCATGGGCTGCACCTTCCTCAAGGGACGGGACTCTGAGGCCCCTCTGCCCCCCAAATCTGTTCCAGGAGGTGCCAGTGTTTGCACATGGACAGATGTGTGTCTCCCCAGGAACAGGGGCACCTGACACTCAAAACACTTGACCAGCTGCCTCTTAGGCAACCGTCAGCCACAGCTTCTCGACCTGGAACTGCTTCTCAAACAGTGGAGACTTGAGTGGAGAAACCCGCAGCCCTCTCCTTCTATGGATGTCCTGTGAGAGCCACTTCTCTAGAGAGCAGAAACCCACACTCCCCGTGACTGTGTTTCCAGGGGCTGCTTGCCAGGGCCGCGGCAGTGTTCTGGCCTCCCTGGAGGCTACAGACGCCCGGTGCCCCTCTGGGTGCTCTGGCCTCCTCTTCCCCCTCAGAGAGCTCTAGGCAGGGCTTTCTCTCTCACAGAGCTTCTCCCGAACAGTTTGGGGAGAGTAACACTGGGACACAGGGAGAAGCAGGAACCCCCAAACAGGGTAGCGACAGGACCAAGGGGAGGGAACCCCCAAACAGAAGAGTGACAGGACCAAGGGAGAGGGGAGGGAACCCCCAATCAGGGGAGCGACAGGACCAAGGGAGAGGGGAGGGAACGCCCAAACAGAAGAGTGACATGACCAAGGGAGGGGAGGGAACCCCCAACAGGGGAGCGACAGGTGTTGACCCATTAATAAGACCCATGGGAAGAAAAATATACATTCAAAATTATTTCCCACATTATTTATTAGGGATTTTAATTAAATTCCTTGATAATATTTGAAAACCTAGGTACTACTTATTTTCAGTGTTAAAGCACTTTCAGGCCACTTCAAGTTAAAAATGAACACTGAATTCATTCGTCCTGCACTGAAGCTGGGCCCATGAAGCTCCCAAAAAGGACACAGCCCTTCCTGAGACTGGGCCTCACTGCTCTCATTCCTTCCGCGGCAGGAGCAAGGGCCCCAGCAGAGGCGCTTGGACAGATTCCTGCCCTGTGGGTACTCAGAGTCTCCATATTTCCTCAAAAGCTTCACCAGGCTGTTATTTCTTAAACACAAAATTTAAACAACACCCCTTCCATGAATTTTAAAACTTTAAAAAAAAAAAAAGTTATGAAGTCAGAAGTCATGGGGGTCCAGGTTTGGCTTCTGGGCCACCCAGGCATCTTTCCAGTCTGGGATTTGTAGGGACAGGACTGTGGAGGATGAAGAGGGCGTGGCACCACAGAGGGGGTGCCCTTGGGGTTTCCTGTGCTCTTCTCTGGGGCACCCTCTTCTCACATGCGTCACAACACAACAAGTCCATTCCTCACCTGTCTGCTGTCAGATCTTTATCCTTCTTTGTCTTTTTCTCTTTCTTTTTGCCTTTCTTTCCTTTCTTCTTTGGAAAAAAAGGAAATAACCAACAATTTAGTCAAAACAGGCAAGCAAATAAGTCCTAGAAATTAGCTAAGCATGTTGTTTTCTGGGGGTGGTGGGAGGTGGAAAGTTAACTGTGGCGGCGTGAACATGGAGCCGCAGTGTCTTCATGGACGCAGGGACTGTCCTGGAAGATCCCATCCCAAGTTGCTTATGTAGGTGTGTCCTTGTGTGGATAGACGTGAGATCCCCACTGTGGAATTTACACGGGGCCAAAGTCCAAAGAGGGAAGAGCATTCTGGCTTTCTGGGCTCTGGCTTGGTGTCCCACAAAGGATGAAAGTGCTGTGTGCACACACAGAGTCAAGCTGTGTTCACCTTTGGTGCCTGATATAAGCTTGTGTTTCCCCAAAATTCATGAGTTGAAACCTACCCCCAAGGTAGGTATTAAGAGATGGGGCCTTTGGGAGACAATTAGGTCACGAGGGTTCCACTCTCATGGAGAGGTCTGAGGGAGCTTGTTCACCCCTTCCACTATGTGAAGACACAGCTAGAAGGAACCATCTTTGAAGTGGATAATGAGGCCTCACCAGACACAAAATCACTAGACATCAAATCCGCTGGTGTCTCGATCTCGGACTTCCCAGCTCCCAGAACTATGAGCTATTAATTTCTGTTGTTTATAAATTACTCAGCCTAAGAACGTTGTTATAGCAGTTCGAACAGACGAAGGCAGTACCCAATCACCTTTCTCTGTTAGCATCTAGCCCCAAATCTGGAGCCCTCAGGGCCAGGCAACAGTCTACCTCTAGTTCCCAAGGGGCTTTGCATTCAGGAACTTGTGATGGCCTAGAGGGACATGCTCCAAATGTGCTTATTTCATGTGCTTATTTGCCATCTGTACATCCTCTTCAGTGTAATGTCTCTTTATGTCTTTCACTCGTTCTCTAATTGGGTTGCTTGTCTTTTGAGTTTTGAGAGTTCTTTATATGTTTATATGTTTGAGAGGTCTATATATGTCAGTATATGAATACTAGATCTTTGTCAGATATGTGGTTTGCAAATATTTCCTCCCAGTCTGTAGCTTGTCTTTTTATCCTCTTAACAGGGTCTTTCACAGAGCAATCATTTATAGTTTTGATGAAGTCCAATACTTCCTTTGTAAAATTGTGTTTTGGATGCTAATTCTAAGAACTCTTTGTCTAGGCTTAGGTCCCCAAAGTCTTCTCTTTTTGTTTTTCTAAAAGTTAGGTCTGTGACCCATTTTGAATTCATTTTTATATAATGTGTGAGACTTAGGTTGAGGTTCATTTCTTTTTGCTTATAGATGTCCAGTTACTCTGGCACTACTTATTCAAAAGTTGTCTTTCCTCCTTTGAATTGCTTTTGCAATTTTAGAATAAACTTGTCTATGCCTACAAATTATATTTCTGGTATTTTGATAGAATTGCATTAATCCTATCCTATAAAAATATCCTAATGGACATTTTTACTATGTTGAGTCTTCCAATTCATGAATATGGTATGTCTGTCTATTCAGATCTGCTTTGATTTCTTTCACTGGCATTGTGCAGTTTTAACATACAAGTCGTATATCTGTTTTGTTAGATTTACACATATGTATTTCATTTTTGAGTGATTTAAAAGCACATTCCATTTTAACTTTTGTGTCTATGTATTCATTGACGATAGATAGAAATACAATTGATTTCTGCATGCTTATCTTATATCCTGCACCCTTGCTGATATAAGTTGATTTGGAGTTGGTAGATTCCTTGGGATTTTCCACAAGAAAATAATGTCATCTGCAAACAAAACCTTTTAATTGTATAGCAGTTTTAGATTTACAGAAAAATTACAGAAGTAGTACAGAAAGGTCCTGTATCTCTCTCACATAATTTTCCATATTAACATTTTACATCACTATGGGACATTTGTCACAACTAAGAAACCAACATTGGCACAATATTATCAACAAAAACTCAAAGTTTATTAGGTTTCCACTAATTTTTCCCTAATGTCCTTTTGTTTTCCAGGATCCCAGGAAGGTTTTGGAGTACTGATTTAATCTCTTTGTTATTGATTTGTTGAGGCTTTCTATTTCTTCTAGATTTGGTCTTGTAGGTTGTATATTTCTAAGAATGTATCCATTTCTTCTAGGTTGTCCAACTTATTACCATCTAATTATTCATAATAGTCTCTTATGATCTTTTTTGTTTCTTTGACATTGGTTGTAATTTCCTCTGTTCTATTTCTGAATTTACTTAAATCTCATCTCCTTTTTCTTAGTCTAGCATAGAGTTTGTCAATTTTTAAAATCCTTTCAGAAAACCAACTCTTAGTTTTATCATTTTTTCCTACTATCGATTCTCTATTTCATGGATTTCTGCTCTAATCTTTGCTATTTCCTTTCTTGTGCTAGCTTTGGGTTTAATATTCCCCTCTTGTTCTAGTTCCTTGAGGTATGTTGGTTATTTGAGATTGTTCTTTTTTAATGTAGGCATTTATGGTGAAAAACTTCCCTCTTAGTATTGCCTTTGCTACATCCTATAATTTTTGGTTGTTGTGCTTTCATTTTTGTTTCGATATACTTTCTAATATCCCTTCAAATTTTTTTCTTTGACCCAATGGTTGTTTGAGAGTGTGTGGTTTAATTTCTGCATATTTGTGAATTTTTCTGTATTATTTTTGTTATTGTTTTCTAGTTTCATTTCATCGCAGTTGTAAGTTACCTGGAATGTTTTTAATATTCTTATATTTATTAAGATTTGTTTTGTGACTTAGCATGTAATACATCCTGGAGAATGTTCTATGTATACTAGAGAAGAATGTGTGCTCTGGTGCTGCTGGGTAGAATAACTGTTAGGACTATTTGGTTCCTAGTACTATTCAAGTCTGCTGTTTTCTTATTGATTTTCTGTCTGGATGATATATTCATTACTGAGAATGGGATAGTGAGGTCTCCTACTATTATTGTATTGCTGTCTATTTCTCCCTTCAGATATGTTAATATTTGCTTCACATATTTAGGTGCTTTGATTAAAGGTATATATTTATTTATACTTGTTATATCTTCCTATTGAATTGACCCTTTTATCATTAGTTAATGATCTTTTTGGTCTCTTGTGACAGTTTTTGATTTGAAGTCTATTTTGTCTGATATAAGTATAGCCATTTCTTCTCTATTTTGCTTATTATTTGCATGAGATATCTTTTTTCCATCCCTTCACTTTCAGCCTATGTGTCCCTAAATCTAAAGTAAATTACATGTATATAGCATATAGTTGACTTTTTAAAATCCGTTCAGTGACTCTATATCTTATGATTGGTGAGTTTAATCTATATACATCTGAAGTAATTTTTGAAAGGAAGGGCTTACTTTTGCCATTTTGTTATTTCTATTTTGAGGTTCTTTTGTTCCTCTCTCAAGTTACAAGTTGCTTTGTAACTGAATGATGTTTTGTAGTGCTACATTTTGATTCTTTTCTGGTTCTGGGGTCCAAAGACAGGCCCAACACTGATTTTTGTGGATGGACCCGCAAAACTAAAGCAGCACAATGGTTGCAGTAAATGACTTGCTATTACATTTGCTATCACAAAAGTGGAGAGAGCTGCCACAGAAGCAAGGCTCACCCAGGGTTTGTGGGAGGCTCACGGTTCTGGGGTCCAAAGACAGGCCCAATACTGATTTTTGTGGATGGACCTGGTGTCAGGGTTTGTGGGAGGCCCATGGTACTGGGGTCCACAGGCCTGGTGCTGAGCTCCAGGCAAAGTCAGATGTTCACTTCTCTGTCCCTTTCTTCCAAGATAGAACTCATGGGTCTAGGAAATCTCTCTTGGCACTAGGATGTGTGGGCTCTGGGGTGACATGGGTAAAGTGAAACTTTCATTCTTACTCTTTTCAATGCATCTTTTTTTTTATGATTCTGTGCTCCACCCGGGTGTGCAGCCTCTCACCTGAATCCCAGAGCTCTTGTGAAGGTACTTTCGTCTATGGATGGTTATTAAATTGGTGTTTTCAGCTTACAGTGAAGGATCTTCAGAACACCAATTCAGCTGCCTTCAGGGTTAAACCATAATATCAATACAAAATGGATCAAGAGCCAGTCATCCTGAAAAGACCACATGGCCCCTGATCTAGCAAAAGTAGTCACAAATGCAGCTGAATGTGTGGAAATCTCTAAGAGAAAATGTGTGAATCACAGGAAAAGTGGCTCAGTCATGGAACGTGGAGAAAGCTGCCATACAAGCAAAGGCTGCCTGTGCTCACGCCAGCACTGACAGGGAGGAGAACTCTCCGCTCTCTACTCTGGGTAACTGGCCCCAATGACAGGGCTGTCTCTGGAATGAAGGTAGAAGCACGGGGCAAACTAAAAGAACTTAAAATACTCTGATCTAACTAGCTACTCTAAACCACTGTGAGATGGATTGGTGGCAACTTACACTTCAATTCATCCAATTCCTTTCCCTATGATTCCCCTACTCACAAAATCCTACTCATTACCATTGGCCTCCCTTATAGCTCTATGTACAGGAACAGATGGGAGACCATTTGGGGAATATGCTTTGGCTCTTTTGATAGTTCTCTTTCTATCAGTGGGGCTTGGGTAATATGAATCTGCAACCGACCAGGGCTTGGGAGATGTTACTCTCAGATGGTTGGGTTTATCCTATTTATGAATCCGCAGGCCCAAAGGTTAAATGGTGGACCAATTAAATTTACCAAAGGCAGGCATGTTTCCCCATGAGGTGTCCTGGCAACAGGCAGCCCTCCTGGACATGCCACAGAATGGCAGGGGCTGCTTTTCATGACTGAATCGGCTCCACCTCACCCCTCTGCAGGGTCCTTCCCCACTCACCTTCTTCTTCTTTCCTACTTTTGCTGGATGCTCCCTTTCTCTGTCCACAGCTAGCTTTAAGTTTTTCAGTTCCTGTCTCATCAACTCATCAACCTAGGAGAATACAAAACAATACTTTTAAGTCACTTTGCATGTCTTGTGTTTTGTTTGTGAAGTTTAAAAATCCCTTAAATTATGGGGTAGGTCATTAATAGGAAATTGTAAAGAAGCAGAATGGTTGAAGTAAATGATTTGCTATTACTACACCATAAACATAGCTGTACCTGTACCCTGATCTCTGACTCTAATTCTTTCCGTTTCTCCTCTTTGATCAGTTCTGGATCAAAGTCCTGAGAGAAATTCCAAGACTCATCTTTATTCATCCAGATCTCTATACTCCAGAAGGGTAAAGAAAAAGAAAAAATTTTAAAAAGATGTAGGTTAGTGAAAACAGTTATTGCAATATAAACATAAGCCTCACTTTATATGCTATTGCATAGGATAAAAGTTTGAGTAAAATAAGCTGGACAGATGACATTCATATATGTGCTTGTAAATACACCAAACAAAGAAAAAAAACTGCTGATGTAAAAATATATATATATTTTTTGAGACGGAGTCTTGCTCTGTCCCCCAGGCTGGAGTGCAGTGGTGCGATCTCGGCTCACTGCAAGCTCCGCCTCCTGGGTTCATGCCATTCTCCTGCCTCAGTCTCCCGAGTAGCTGGGACTACAGGTGCCCGCCACCATGCCCAGTTAATTTTTTTTGTATTTTTAGTAGAGATGGGGTTTCACCGTGTTCGCCAGGATGGTCTCGATCTCCTGACCTCGTGATCCACCCGCCTCGGCCTCCCAAAGTGCTGGAATTACAGGCGTCAGCCACCGCGCCCGGCCTTGTTTTACTCAATATTTTTTAAGTGTGATACAATTGTATTCTACTGTATTATTATAATCATGTAAGAACAATATGTTAATGGTGGGATTATACAATCATAGGTGACCCCTTTTATAATGTTTTATCTCATTTTTTTTCTTCAAATGATTCACTAAAATACGAAAGATTTTGTTGCCTGTTGAACCCTCCAGGAATTATCCCTTGCCTCCTATTATAAAACAGACAACATTAAACACACAAGTACTCAGTATTTCTCCCTAATTCAACAGCTAAATTTCCGAATTACTTTTTGGATGTTTTTGAAATCACACATATTTAACGTTTCCCTTTTGCCTCCTCCTGGTGGTTAGGAGGGTGGACCTAGAGAAACATGACCCTAGACAAAATAAGGATAATTTCCCATCACTAAAATAAATGGAAATAGAGCTCCTTTCTCAGAAGGGAGGTTCCAAATGTATGCTGAGGTGTGGAACAGCTGGATCCTCGACGTGGGACTTGGAAGAGGTCTCCCGTGGGAAGCCAAGACTTGTCATTTGGGGAAGGAGACGTCTTTCTGGAATCTATGTCGAGAACGTAAAGGAAATTTGCTGGAATTGGTGAAGCTGACAACCGCCAACCAGTCTGGCCACTTCACTGGGACCTGCCTTTAGCGCTGTGATGACCTTTAACCTGGGAAGGTAGCTAAGGACTCGGGGCACAGACAGAGGCTCCCAACCTTTGAGGGACAAGGGATACCCCTGGTGAAGACGGCAGAGGCTGCAGGCCTCCGAGGCAAGGCAGGTGGGGTGGTGAATGAATGAAGGAGGCTTCTCAGCATGGCCTCCCTGACAAGCATGGCATGACCCACTGACCAAGAAGGGAGAGGGTGGCGCTCTAACTCTACATTGGGAGGAAAGTCATAGTCACAGACAGAAGAACAAGTCTGGCTGCTGCAGACCCAGAGCCATCAAACGTGAAGACCTAGCATAGAGAAGCTTCCCCAGAGAATCATGTGGGTAAACGAATGGGAAGGAGAGGCTGAGTCTCTGAACAAACCACAGAGGGACCAGGAACTGGCCAAAGGGATGAACAAGGAAAGGGGTAGGGATGAGATGCTGTGAGACCCAGGAAAATCTAGACTCTCAGGAGAGGTGGAGAGAGAGACTGGGGAGATTCTGATGCAAACTCAGAACTGGCAAATAGGCAGGACAATTGTCCCGAGGTTTTTGGCCACCTGCCACCTGCCCGGGGCAGCACAGCTTGGTGCAAGGGCCACTGTTTGCGGCCAGGTGGAACCTCTGCCCTACCACCTACCAGTGGGTGACCTTAGCAGGGGACAGCCTTTGCAGAGCCCATTCCCCTTTCTGAGAAATGAAAATAACCCCTTCCTCACGCCGATATGGTGATGGTAAATGGAATAAAATAAAGTTATATGAATAATTTATTTTTAATAAATATTTATATATAAATAAATATATACAGTTCCAGTTTAGCCCCAAATAGTTGCTGCCATCCCCCAGGAAGCAGAGCATCTCACAGGGTCTTAGCCTACCTCATTGACACTCTCTACTTCCTGGAGGGAGAGGATCACACAGGACAGCAGCTACACCAGAAACAGCTATGCCCCAAAGCAGGTGCGTGCCAGCAAAGAGCAAGTGGGGCCCTGGGGCCAGTGCCTGTGCCTTTAGTGGTCAGAGTCAGGACCCTCAGGACAGGACACCTGCAGGAAGACAGGACATGGAAACGCAGCTCCAGTTTTCAAAAAGAGTGGGTCGGGCTGGGCGCAGTGGCTCATGCCTGTAATCCCAGCACTTTGGGAGGCCGAGGTGGGCAGATCACGAGGTCAGGAGTTCGAGATCAGCCTGACCAACATGGCGAAACCCCGTCTCAACTAAAAATACAAAAATTAGCCAGGTGTGGTGGCACGTGCCTGATATCCCAGCTACGCAGGAGGCTGAGGCAGGAGAATTGCTTGAATCCAGGAGGCAGAGGTCGCAGTGAGCTGAGACTCCAGCGTGGGCAACAGAGCGAGACTCCGTCTCAAAAAGAAAAAAAAAAAAAAAAGAGCGGGTCGGGTTCACAAGCTGCAGATGCTGACACCAGAGGTGACCACAGCATTTTCTGGGCAGAAGGGGTTGTTCGCCACACACGGCAGAGGCAGGTCCATCTGACTTCTGGACAGACTGCAGCACGGATGGCTCAGCAGGTATCTGAGCGGGGTGGGTGGTGGGGGGTCCAGCAGGACCCAGCAAGAGCTCTTGACCAGCCTACCTCCTACCAGCAAACTGAAGGGCAGGGCTGTGTGTATTGCTGTTTGAGCACCGTCTCTGCCACAGAGATATGGAGGACCAGCCTGTGATGATGCAAGGTCAGTTGGGCAGGTTTTTGAAAATGCAGAAAATGACGCAGATTTCTTTTAATGTGGGCTTACAAACAGACAAAAAATAAATCACAAAGGTGGCAAATTTTTCACGGTACCAATGCACTTAGGTGTCCTTCCTGACAGGGCAGTCTCATAAGAGGTGGCCCAGGGATTGGGGGCACAGAGCTGGGGGTGGGAAGGGGGCTCGGATGGGACTCTGAAGGTGACTGCAGAGGTGAGGCTGAAGTTCAAGGGGTGTCATCATTCACATAGGGCAGGTGGCCAGCCCAAAACAGGTGTGACAACAGGAGGGGAGAAGAGGCGAAAAAGGTTGATGAGCTGGAATGGGCCTACAGGAGGGGGCCTGGGCTGAACTTCTCTCGTTACCATAATCCTTCCCAGTGACAGCCAGCCCGAGAGCCAGGGTGTAGAAAACAAGTATTGCATACATTGTCTAAAGCATCCCATTGGTGGAAGAGAGACTTCATGTCACTAATAGGTGGAAGTTCATTCTTCGCCCTGCACTCCCTTAGATTTTGTGGTTAGCTTGTATGATGCGTGTACTCCAAAGGCCCGGAGGGTTTACAACTCCTGCATTTGAAGCGAATTGCTCTTTTCTAGTAAATTTTCTGAAATGTACATAAGCTTAAACTGTGAAAAACTTCAAAATGTAGGAATAACACGTAGTGATAAAATGTAGGAAAAGGAATCAATGCTTCCTTTTATGTGTCTAAAATTGTAAGCATTCTTCCTTGAAAATTCTAGAAAAGGTTTAAATGTGTCATAACGTGCTGTTTACTAATAACAATCCCCCTTGTGGGATTTCTAAATCTTCTCCAATAGCAGCACCTATCTGTTACATCAGGGCATTTTAAACAGAACAGCTTTGTTAGTTACGGGAACCTACTTTTCTTTTTCACTAGATTCACTAAAATCAGGAAATAACGTATTTCATAATAAAAGGAAGGCAGAATCTCTCACAGAAGGGAAACCATGACACAATTACTTATGTAGAAACAGTTGTACGGTGGAACACATTCTCATTCTGGAGTCGCAACTATATTTAAAATAAAACACCGCGGAGCCGTTTTGCCCATTTCCCCTCTAGATCGTTTAAATGGATTGAGTTTTCTACTGAAACTTTGCTTTTCTCATGACACTTTTGCGCAGGGCACTTTTCAATCCCTTCAAGAATTTCATGGACATTTATAAATGCAGGAAGCTATTCACGGCCCTCAAAGGGCAACGACTGCCCCACTCTCTCCTAGAGCGGAGAAAGAGCTTTTATCCCGAGAATGTGAAAAGCGAGGCCAAGGCAGTTTCACACGTGGGGGGGCAATGAAAGAGGGGCGCCGGGGCGGGGGGCTAATCTTAGTGATTAAAATGCTAATGTTTTATTTGAAGAGGAAAACCTTTGATTTTTTAAGAAAAGAATTCTAAGAGGAAGACATTTAATTCCTTGAAGTTACTAAAGACCTGGCAGATAACAAGTCCAACGCCACACCATCCGACCAGGAAAATGACACTGCGGGTTTGCTTCCAGGAGGGACACTGCTTGCTTTTTCAGTCTTAATGGAAACAGATATTACACAAAAGGCGTGGACAGTTTTCAGAGCTTTTGGGCCGGTCAGCAGGTTGCAAGAGTTGGCTTCCCATGGGGACGTTAGATTTCTCCCAAATTAATTTTTGCTTGTATCAAAATGATACACATTGTTTTAAACAAAGTCAGAATATTAAACAGATGATAATGAAAAACCTGTCCCACTGTCTACCTGCCAATTACATTATCCAATGGCATTCTTTCCTATATTCATTTATTCATTAAAAATACACAGGACAAATGCAGTTATTACATTTTGACTTTATTGAGCCCGATTATGGGCCAGGCACTGCTCTCAGAGCAGGTGGATAATGGAAGGCCCTGCCCTCAAGGACTTGGCATGGCACCGTGAGAAACGTCTGTGAACACACACTCACACCCAAGTGGGCAAAGGGTGGGCACGGGCAGAGGGGGACTGTCACTCCACAAGGGCCCTTAAAGAAGGTCTCACTGGCACCGAGGCCCAAAGGGACAAGCATTCTAAGCCAGAGGAACAGAAAGCATAAGGGCCAGAGGTGGAGCGTGCCTAGCCTGCTGGAGGAAGCGCAGCGGCCACAGGGGCGTGTGCAGTGATCTGGTTTCATGGAAGCTATTTCGGGTAGTTTCTGTGTTCTTTTCCTAGTGTCTATAGAACATGCTCATATG